GCATCCCTGTTATAGATCTATAGATTGGATAGATATATAAGGTTATTGTGGGTAATTCCGGGTGTGTTTGGGAGATCTTCCGGAGTTCGTGGTTCGGAGGCGTCATCACTGCCTGGCTGTGTAGATCTGGGATCCCGTTCCTGGTGGAGCAGTGGGTGACGGGCATGGCAAGGGATGAACCTAAGAGCGATGTGGAAGACCTGGGGTTAGGATTCAGATCCAAACTCAGATTGTCAGAGAAAGAGCGCGGGGGCATTTGTATCGAAAGGAAAGATGTTGAAGGTGCTTTATTGGGCCTCCAATACACCATGATTGCCGAAGTTCTCACCTCTAAGGTGGTGAACGGGGAAGTGTTCATTGATTGCTTTATGTCACTATGGCGGGGACGGGAAGGGGTCTCCATTAGGGATATTGGAGAAAACAGGTTCTTAGCACGTTTTGCGAGTCAACAGGATTTGCTAAGGGTCGTTGAAGCTGACCAACCTTGGTTCTTCAAAGGGGATTTGGTTATGGCGGCGGACCGATCTGCTAAAGGGCTAAATAGATGGACTCCGTTACACCTTGGCACATTCTGGGTTCAAGTTCACAATGTTCCGGTTCTAAATATGACCCAAGCTGTGGCGGAATCCATTGGGGGTCTGATGGGTACGGTTCGAAAGGTGGATAAGTCCGGAAGTCGGGATTGCATTGGGAGATTTCTCCGAGTCAAAATCCGATTTAATGTCCGGGAACCTCTTATGCGTGGTACCTTTGTGGACTTCCCTGATAATGGAAGGATCTGGGTCGACTTCAGATATGAGGCGCTACCGAAATACTGTCTAATGTGTGGGATGCTGGGCCATACAACAAGAGCATGCACCGATACACGGGAGGAGGGGGTGAAAGAAGGAGTGGGCTCTGGGGAATTAAATGATGGGTTAGGTTTCAAAGGTCTAGATGCTGTTATCGACTTACGAGGGAACCATATAGGATCGGGGATCAGAAGTAAGGGATCTCGTGGGTCAAATGGTGGAGGGAATGAGACGGGAAGTTGGAAAAGTAAGAGACATGATGAGCAAGACGATGGTAAGCGATCTGACCGATCTTCAACGGCCTCTGGCATGGGAAGTCGCTCACAATTCGGAGGGCACACCCCACAAAGCGGGAGTGAGTACTCTGATCAGGGAAACGAGGAGGAGAAGGATACTGCTACCTCACCTAGTAAACCTCGTTGGTCATCAAGCAAAATTGATAGAGGCGGAAAAATGATGGCTGAAAAGATACGTAACCAACGGATAGATGAGGAGAATGCACGACAGGCCAGAGAAACAACCTTTGATGCAGGGCTAATTGGCCCTGAATGAGTAATTGCAGATACTGCTACTCACATTATCCTTCATGAACCCCCTGAAATGGAAGCACGGATGAATAACCCATGCTTGTCAGCAGAACGGGGGCAGAGTTTTGACTTAAACAGTGAGCCACTTGTAGTGGAGGACTATAATGCTGCAGAGAACAACATTGAGGTGAGTTTTGAGGGGCAGAAAAGAAAGGTGTCACACACTGGAGAAGTTAGAGATATGGAGGATGACCCCTTTAAGCTAGTGCCCATTATTGAGGCGGTAATGAAAGATTCAAAGAGGAAAAAAAGACCCTTTCAGGAAGTGGAGTACAGCACTGTGGAGAAGGGTGCGGAGCCAAAAAGATCCAAAATCGGGATTTGTCCTGATGCTGAGGCGGAGGGGACCAGCCGAAAGGGGTCCCCCACGACTCCATGAAGATAATCGCATGGAACTGTCAGGGTATCGGGGGTGACCTGACAGTTGACAACCTGATGGAGCAATATCGGCTCCACACCCCTGACATGATTCTGCTTGAAACAAAGAACAACAGCAGGAACTATGTTCACTTGAAAATGAGACTTCAAATGGAGCATCTATTTGCGGTTGAACCACGAGGAATTGGAGGTGGTCTTTGTGTGTTCTGGAAGGATGAAGTTCAGGTTATTCTTATGAACTCTGAGGAATTTATGATTGAGTTAAAGCTCTGGGATGAATCTTTCAATTGCTTCTGGCGTCTGTTTGCCATTTATGCAAGCACTGATGAGAGGAAAAGACGAATCCAATGGGTGTCCATGAGTAAAAGGATTGAGAAAGACAAGGATAGATGCCTTATTTTGGGAGACTTTAATGATATTTTGTGTAATGAAGAAAAGGAAGGCGGGAACTTCAGAGGTGCGGCTAGTATGAGAGATTTCCGAGGCTTTGTGGCAGGTAACGACCTCATGGATATGGGGTATGAAGGATACCCCTTCACGTGGCGAAATAACAGGGAGTCTCTTCCCATCCAGCAGAGGATTGACCGCGGCCTTGCCACTCATGGGTGGCACGACCTCTTCCCTGATACTATTATCAGACATGTTGTCCTTGAAGGTTCGGACCATGCTATGCTGCTGCTATCTACGGAAAAGTTTCGGGCCTGGAGAGGTAGGAAATTTTCCTTTGATGGTCGATGGAGTAAATCGAAGGAGTGTCGTGAGCTTGTGGTGGGGGAGTGGAAAGATAAGACCAGTGGATCCCATGCTTACCGGTTCTGTGAGAAAATTAAAACGCTCAGGAAAAGTCTTAAGCTCTGGTATAAAGAAACTGGCAGGAACTCTAAAAAGAAGGTTGAACTTTTAAAAGCTGAGATCAGAGTGGCACTTCAGTCTAAGGACTTCTCCTCTGAGGCGGTTAAGCAAAAAGAGAAAGATCTCAGGGCAGCCCACAAGGACGAAGAGCGTTACTGGAAAACTAAGTCTAGGAATCAATGGCTTAATGAGGGGGATAAGAACACCAAGTTCTTTCATGCTCAGACGCTAAAAAGAAGAAGGCTAAATCAGATTCGAGGGATTGAAGACTCCCAAGGGGTGTGGCACGAGGAGGACAAAGAGATTGCCGACACGGCTGTTGCCTATTTTACTGACTTGTTTCAATCTTCTAGACCGAATCAAATTGATGATATTGTGAGAAATGTTGAAGCCAGGATCACACCTGAGGATAACAATGCACTGACTGGCCCGGTGACTACCGCTGAAATCGTATTGGCGGTCTCTCAAATTCCTCCTTCTCGGGCACCGGGACCGGATGGGTTATCTGGTTGCTTCTATCAAGACCATTGGAATACTGTGGGAGAGGATGTGGTTAAGATCATTAAAGCCTTTTGGCATTCCGGTACTCTGTTGCGAAAGCTAAACCATACTAATTTGGTTCTCATCCCAAAAGTCAGATGCCCAAAGAACATGGCGCAATATAGGCCCATTGCCATGTGTAACGTAATTTATAAGATTCTTGCTAAGGTTCTCACCAACAGGCTAAAAGTGGTGATGTCTAAAGTGATTGGGGATAATCAATCTGCCTTCGTTGTTGGTAAACAAATTCAGGATAATATTCTTGTGGTTCACGAAGTCCTACACTCACTGCTTCATCAAAAGAGGGAGGACCAGGCTGGTTTGGCTATTAAACTTGATATGGCTAAAGCCTATGATCGGGTCGAGTGGAACCTCCTTACCTCAATTATGTCCAAGTTGGGTTTCGCGCCCCTATTTTGCAAGTGGATTAAGGCATGTATCTCCACTGTATCTTTCAGCATTGTGGTTAATGGAACCCCGACTGGGTTCATCGTGCCGCAGCGAGGTTTGAGACAGGGCGATCCCCTCTCCCCCTTTTTATTTCTCTTGTGCACTGAAGGCCTCTCGGTGATACTCAGGAAAGGGCTTGAACTAGATGCTCTCCACGGCTTCAAGTTCACGGCCACAGGAACCCCGCTTACCCATCTTTTCTTTGCTGATGATTCGGTTGTTTTCGGCAATGCCACAGTGGATGATGCGCGTGCGGTTGCTGAAGCTCTGAAGGTTTATGCTTGCGGTTCTAGTCAAGAAGTTAACTTAACCAAGAGTTCGGTGTTCTTTAGCCCTAAAACCCCTAACCGCACCAAGAGGGAAATTGAGGGAACGTTGGGGATCCAATGTAAGCAGGGTTTTGGGAAGTATTTAGGGCTGCAGGCAGATTTTGGTCACTCAAAAAAAGCTGTCTTTGCGGAGGTTCGCGATAAGGTGGAAGCCCGGTTGGCTGGATGGACTGAACAATACTTATCCCAAGCTGGTAAGGAAGTTTTAATCAAAAGCGTGGCCATGGCTTTACCGAATTATGCCATGAGTTGTTTTAAGCTCCCTATTGGAGTTTGCAGGGACATTGAGAAAGCAATTCGGAAGTATTGGTGGAAAGGTAACGAACAACGCCATGGTATTCATTGGGTGTCCTGGGAAAGGATATCGAAACGGAAGATGTCAGGAGGCCTGGGTTTTAAGGCCATTCAGTGCTTCAACTTGGCAATGCTAGCTAAAATTGGATGGAGATTGACTTGCAATCCGACGTCCCTGTTAGCTACTGTACTGAAAGACAAATACCATCCTGGGTGTTCCTTTAAAGAAGCTGGGAGAGGGAAGCTCACTTCCTGGGGATGGAAAGGTATTTATGAGGCCCGGAAGGTCCTGCTGAAGGGGATTAGATGGAGGGTCGGGAACGGAAAATGTATAAATATCCGAGATGACCCTTGGTTCCCTAAACCCTCTACCTTCCGTGTTTGTCCTTCTGAAAACCTGGATGCCACTATGGTTTGCGATTTAATCGACCCGGTTTCAAATTCTTGGAAGGCTAACAGCATTTTTGCAGGTTTTCACGGTGAGGATGCCGATACTATTCTTAGCATTCCGCTAAGTCATTTTGGCTGTGAAGACAGATTGATGTGGCACCACTGTGAATGGGGTTTATTCCGTGAAATCCGGATATGGGATCGCTATGGAATTGATGGAAAATTGAGCTTTGGGAAAGAAGGGGCTAGGTGCCCCTAGTGAGCCGATGAAGCTAAACAAGATTTGGTCCAGGATTTGGCGCCTGCAGGTCCCTAATAAAATCAAGCTCTTTATTTGGCGATGTTGCAACAATGCTTTGGCTGTGCGGAGAAATATCCAGAGACGTCACATGAGGGTTGACAATGTCTGCGGAGTGTGTAATGCGGTGGACGAAACTGAGAATCACATATTTTTCCGATGCAGGTTCAGCCATATTTTCTGGTTCTGCTCTCCTCTTCACCTGAATTCCCACGAACTGGAAGGCTTTGACTTTCTCGATAGTTGGGGAAAGTTCCATGAGGGCATGAAAGGTAAGGAAAATGCAGAGGAGATATGTCAAGAATTTGCTTTTGGATTATGGAGACTATGGAAAAACAGGAATGATGCTGTCTTTAAAGGGCTGTATCGACAGCCGCTTGATGTTATGGATTTATGGTGGAAGAACATTATTGAATTTAGGGAGGCTTCAACCAGTTTGGGAGATGATGCGTGGAACATGGATGTCACCCCCCTCTCTGCTACTGCCCGTCCTAGCCTTCACTGGCAGAGACCTAGGTACGGGACCATCAAGATTAACACGGACGCGGCCTGGTGCAAGGTAACCCTCCGTGCTGGTGTGGGCTGGGTGGGGCGTGATTTTGCTGGGGTGCTCCAAGCTGCGGGTGGAATGGGTACTGTGCGCTGCCTTAGCGCAGCGGCGGCCGAAGCAATCGCGATCCGTAATGCGTTGAAGGCTTGTATTACCCATAGATTCAATCATGTTGTTATTGAATCTGATGCTAAGCTGATTATTCAAATGATCAGAAAGGAAGTGACGGTCGACTGTAATTTGGATTGTGTTATTGGCGATATTGAGATCCTAGCGCAAATGTTGACGTCGGCGACGTTCGCGTTTGTGCCTAGGGAGAGCAATCATGCTGCTCACTTGGTGGCTAAGCACGTGTTCAAGGAAGGTCGTGACATTATCTGGGATTGTATTGGCCCAGAGTTTTTGTTTAATGCCCTTGCTAAAGATGTAAACCTTTTGATTCGTCTCTAATTTATTCTATCCTTTGACAAAAAAAAAAAGACCTAGGCACGTTCAAAAAGCGCATGTAGTATCACTTCAAGTAAGCATCCATGATTGAGACAGATTGCGATTTTGGCCTCATCGCTACCGTATCCAACTAGGATGTTTTCCTTTCCCACCGAAATCAAATACCAGCCCTACCAGCCCATGCCGACTCGCACAAATTATTTAAAAGGAGGACATCCTGGTCAATTTCCAAAAACTGAAGGGTGCATCTGCCACTTTATTCAACCAAAAGAAGAAAGTCACAACTCACGTGCATCACGAGTCCCCAGTTCCCATGATATGTGTGGTGTGGGACGAGTGAGGAGTCAGGAGTCAGGAACATAAAAACGTGGCGGACTGGGGCCTCGATCAGACTTATGAAAACCAACTTTCCTCTTTCGTTTTATTTTTCCAGAAAAATAAGGTTACTGGAAAAGGAAGTTGGCCACGCTCATGACCTCTCACCGCTTAATTTGATGTTGCCAATGCATCTGACTGACCTCGACCCTCTCTCTCTCTCTCTCTCTTTTTTTTTTTTTTTTTTTTTTTCTTTTCTTTTCCTTTTTGTTCTTTTTGGTTAACAACTATGACATGAAGCACCTGATTCTCTCTGCCAATTGCTAATTTTGTCCCTCACCTGAAACAAAACAAGTTCCAAAGTTTGCACCATCAAATATATATGTAATCCATACATCAACCCACTTGCAGTTTCATGCCCACCAAAAGATCATTCAACACAGCATATGACTCTTTGAACAAAAAAACATAGCATATGACTATTATCCATAAGTGGTAAGGGTCATGGCTTCTGTATTTTTCAAGGATACTAAACCTGGTAATCACTCGGTTATTAGCAAAACATATATACACATCTCAATAAATATTCATGTATTTTAGTCTTCTTGCTTAAAAAGTTTGATTGGTTTGATATCAATTTTATATAATCCTCCTTTTCTATTCAATATGTTTCTTCTCGACTTTGAACTTTTCAGCTGCATCTAACAATGTTTTGTTTCTTGACTTCTTACTCAATTACTTTACTAAAAAAATAAATACTCTTGGCGATATGATATCGAGCATCCAATAATGTGACCCACTAATATATTTATATTATCTTGCTAGCTGTTACTAATGTAGTTTATTCCTTCGTGACTAAATTATGATATTTAAAAAGGGCTAAGTGTGTGAGATCATTTATGCTATGTAAAAGTATTTTACTTAACGACAAAGTGATAGTTGAGCTGTCATTATCTCTAATTGACTCATTATAAAGCTGATGGTAATTCATCGAAATAATTATCATTGATGAACTTTCCTTGTTGAATACTTCGCCAAAAGTGTCCCAGTAAAGAATTATTTATTCAATATGCCCAGCGCATTGCACTGGGCTTAATAAGTGGAATCCACTATTATGCGACAAGTTCCTGATCCTAATAATTAATTCTTATAGGATTCAGAACTCCAAATACCAATGACATTTGAAAAAATTGCTCCACGAAAATGATAAAATGATTATTGATGTTAAAATCAATTTTCAGATTTAGAACAAAAGACTTGTTGCTCCACAAACTTACAATTACAATTACTCATTTAAAAAACAACGAGAAAAATGACGTCTTCCATTTTGTTTGTTGCTTCTATATATGAACTTACCACAAGTTTTTCATCTGTAAATCCGAACCTTTTACCCATACTTGTAGAAGAACATGCAAGGATGTCGAAAGAGGTACAAATTATAGAATGAAAAGGTGGATGTAGAAGATAAAAAGCAAATGAAAAATTATGGGTGATATTACCATTGAAACAAACTTCGCCAAAGCTAATATATGGCTCTAAAAAAATTTCAGAACGAATGTAACTTGGACATGCGCAAAACACACTTCTAGTATTGCTCTCACCATTGAGTTAACTCATATTTATAACTACTATTTATGTAATTACAGGCTCGAAGTTGATGTCGCAATCTCCATATAATCTGATATTGTATCCAAACGCATGGGAGCCAATAGCAGATGTCAAAATATGATTGAAAGACCCTGCACGTGCAAATGCACAAAATAGCTAATCGGGGGAGCCGTTTGCAAGCCGTTAGTGGGTTTATAGTGCGATGTCATTCGACTCGTTTCTCGATCTTCTGCACCTGTTTGTGTGTGGTCTTTTTATGGCATTTATCATTAATGATACATGTTAAGTTTATAACAATAAAGTTAAGAAGGATTAAGTTTATTAATACATGTTAATCAATAATGAAGGCTACAAAGATATGACACAATAAAACAGGTGCAGAAGATTTGAATTCCAAAAAAAATCACAATCCTGCCAATAACATCTCACCACTTCTTAAAAATGGTTTTGCAGGTTACAATAAAACTATTTGTATGTACTCACTACTTTTATCTAACTTTTTTTTTTGTTACAACAGCCCGTTTCAACTTTATATTTCTTGCCTACTATTATCTATCACCTTATTCATTCTCACCCGTCAATTGACTCTAACAGCTTTAGTAACTACTCTTTAATAAGAAAATAACTTTTGCGTGATTGATTTTCTTATACAAAAATGCTAGTCTTATTACCTATTTATTATATCCTCTCTTTTAGAGGAGGGACCCATATTCGTTGGCGGACCCTATCTCTATTAGAGAGATGGAACAAATGATGGTACAACTAAATGGTAAATGTAGCATTACTCTTTGTTATAATAATTTTGAGTGATATAATAGTTCATTTAAAAAGTGGGTGTCGTTATTGGCATTCTAAAAAAAATATTATGCACTCCATTTTTTTTTAAATTTAAAAACAAAAATTCACTTATAATAACTTTTTGGGTAATGCTAGGGATTATATTTCTAAATTAAATTTTATAAACTAAATGAAGTGGTTGTTGATGATAGGATTATTACTTAAGTGTTGATTAACGTGCTTATTACTTATTAGTGACACATAATTTAATTTGTAAATTTAATTTAATATTTTAGTCTCCTTAGTATTATCCTAATTTTTTTTTAATTTCAATAACATCTCCTTGAAAAATTAGAATATCTTCAAGTATGCTTTGTAAATTCCTATAATGCATAAAAGAATTCCCTTTTAATGTTATTTGTTTTTCTTTTATTTTTTATTTCTCAAAGAATCTCGTATTGAAAAACTGCATAGAAGATGGTGCTTCTTTCTTGCGTAGTTGTTTCGATTGGCTCGCTCACGTGAATGATATTGAGTGGACCAATAGATTCGATAAGTACTAGGGAATCAACCAATAAGGAGGAGTACAAGTGTCAATCATTAGCCAAATGATAATAAGCAGATAAAGCAAGTAGAATGTTAATCGTTCTCTATAACAATTTACACATAATAAGTTCACTATCATGCAACTTTCTAATTTAATGATATAATGTTATGTGTTAAAAAATTTACACATGTCAATCACTATTCGATACTATGCAAGATAAATCAAACGGTTAATCTTCTCTATATAGTAACTTACACGTAACAAGTTTACTGCTTTTTAACGTTCTAATTTAATTTAGTACTACATTTTAGTGGTATTCCTCTTCACTTGTAAGTGAGAGGTTTTAGATTCGATTCTCGCCAAAGACGAGTTTGAACCATATTATTGTTACCCCATTGTGAGATTAAGTCCACCGACTCTTCTTAGTATAGATAATATCGTTTGTTTAAAAAATATATATATACAATGTCATGTCATGTGTTGAAATCGTTACACGTATCTATCACCATTCGATATAAGTCATTCACCTCTCCATTATACCATACGTCTTGTCTGTCCACTTTTATTGGATATATAAGATAATATATCACTTTCATCGATTTCTTTATTATCTAAAGAGTGGAAATGGCACTTTACTGATTCATTCATTACTTTTAAATTTTCTCTCTTCTTTTTGAATCCTGATGTTGGATAGATCCAGGTGAACTTTATCTTTTATGGAAAGAAAATTTTGATCTCATTTTTGAAAGGGACAGCATGCTTCCATATATATATATATATATATTGATTGTATACATATGGATCCACCAACCTTATTTTGTGACTGCTCCTCCCAACTATAAAGCATAAATTATAAAGGTTTCTTCTTGCTGGAAACTCATTATTATAGCTAGCTTCTACGTGATGGAAATTTTCTCCTCTTATTGTCTTCTCTTCTCCTCCCTAGACTAAGCATATGGAATTCAGTGTTGCGTGAGTCAACTTTGGGAAATAAGGAATGTAGAGATATTTTGGGTATAATTATGTAATTGGTATCCTGTATATTTGGGATACTTGTTTCCTAGTTTGTAGGAAATTGTATAAGTTTATATATTCCTCTATGAGAGAAGAATAATAACATAACAATATTTTACCAAAACCTAGAATTTTATCTTGGTACCAGAGCAAGTTTTGACCTGACTCTTCTTGACAAACCCTAAACACCATACATACCCTAGCCATCAAAATCTGGTTAAATCTTGAACCTAGAATTCATATCCCGTAGCCCTTGGAAGCAACAAAGCACAATTTGGTAAACATATCAGTGCAATGGCAGAGGAAAAAGCTGGCGCCATAATCCCCTTGCAACCCGTGCATGTTCAGGGTGAGTCTACCAATATCAATGCCATTCCATTTGGGTTTCGGTTGAGCGACTCGAACTTGAAGGTTTGGTCCAAGATGATGGAGGTCCACGTTGCAGGTCTTGGGAAGCAGGGCTACTTAACGGGTAAAATCCCGGTTGTTGATGAAGATGATCCAGGGTTTGTAAAGTGGTCAACTGAAGATGCCATAGTGCGGGGGTGGTTCCTCAAAACCATGGAACCACACCTACTTGGTCTCTTTATAGACTTGCCCACGGCCAAAGAGATATGGGAGAGTGTTACTTAGATGTTCTACGATCGTTCCGATGAGTCACAATATTATGAACTCCGGTGCAAGGCTACACGGATGAGACAAGACGGTTGTCCAATCAATCTATACTTCACCGAACTGAAGA